TTAATCTTGTAAAACATGATTGGAGAGTAATCACCATTGATATTACTTTTCCCAAACAAGAAGGCATACCTGGATACTTATTAGCATTGGAACGTATATGTGCTGAGGTTTCACTAGCTATTCAACAAGGCTTCAAGGTTGTTGTATTGTCTGATATTGCAACCAATGCTGAACGTGTGGCAATCTCATCCCTAATAGCTATAGGCGGTGTGCATCATCATCTGGTTAGAAGCAAGCAACGTTCTAAAATTGCTCTTATAAGTGAAAGTGCTGAAGCAAGAGAAGTTCATCACATCTGTGTACTATTAGGTTATGGCGCTGATGCTATTTGTCCTTATCTTGCTATGGAAGCTGTATTGAAATTAAAAAGAGAAAATGTTATAAAAAGTGATTTATCTCCTGAAAAATTTATTAGTAATTATAAAAAGTGATTAATGGTCAAATCAATGAATATATTATATATTTATATATTTATATATATTACCATTGGTGAGATAATAAGATTTAATTGTTCGATTGTATAACCAAAAGCTTTTAATCTAGGATCATCAGCTATAGAGAAGTTATCTAATTCAATATTTAGAATGTTTTTGCCATTTGATTTAAGTGTTTGTATAACATGATCCAGAGTAATCATTTGATTATCAATCCAAGATTTAAAATTTTCTCTGCTAGCAACAGATAATTTTAGTTCTTTGTCATCAACTATACGACCTTCATCAGTATCAACCAACAACATTTTGCCAGGTTGTAAACGACCTTTTTGAATGATGCTTCCAGGATCAATAAACATGGTTCCAACCTCAGATGCACATATCATTAAATCATCATTTGTTAAATAAAATCTACATGGTCTTAGACCATTACGGTCCAAACTAGCACCACAATATCTACCATCAGAAAAGGTGAATAAGGCTGGGCCATCCCAAGGTTCCATTAAACAGGCAGCCCATTGATAAAAGGCCCTTTTTTTCAGGTTCCATTGAATGATTATTTTGCCAAGCTTCAGGAATCATCATCATAACAGCTTCAGGTAGAGTTAAAACACCATTTATAACCAATAATTCCAAGACATTATCAAAAGCAGCAGAATCAGAACCACCATCTTCTATTATAGGATACAATAAATCCAATTCTTGACCGAATAAATCAGATTTCATTATACCCTCACGAGCTCTCATCCAATTTTTATTACCACGTAAGGTGTTAATTTCACCATTATGAGCACACCATCTCATAGGTTGAGCCCTGTCCCAAGAAGGAAAGGTGTTTGTTGAGAAACGGGAATGAACCAAAGCTAAATGAGTTTTGTAAGAGACATTTCTCAAATCGTAAAAATAATTGTAAACTTGAACAGGAGACAATTGACCTTTGTAAACAATATTTTTGTTTGAAAGTGAACAAATGTAAAACCATTTTTTGACAGTGATTGTATGAGTAGCTTGTTTTCGTAGAATATAAAGCTGACGAGCAAAATAACTATCGTCAAAATTATTAATGCTGTTGATTTCAACATCGTTAACATTTTCAAGAGCATTTTGATTTAAGGATGTGTTGAAATGACTTGTTAAAGTGAGAAAAGGTTGAAAAATGATGGGTTCACGTGATATAGCAGCAGGACCTAAGATAGAATTATCTTTTGGGACTTCACGCCAACCCAAAACCTTCAGATTTAAAGAATCAGCGATTTGTTCAAAGATTTGTTTACTTTCCTCCATGACAGCAGGTTCAGGTTTAAAAAAGACATTGCCAACAGCATATTGACCTTGAGGAGGCAAAACAAAACCTAATCTTTGAGTCTCTTGAACAAAAAAATCATGAGGGATACCTGTCATAACTCCAGCACCATCACCATCCCTTGCATCAGCACCAACAGCACCTCTATGAGTCATATTGCAAAGTATACTTTGTGCATCACTAA